TTGCTGGACATGTTTGACACGATCCTGCCTGCAAATCAAACTTCCACTCAGGCCACCAAAGTGCGGCCAATAGTTTTAAACGCTTGGCTCGGATTCTGGGAGGTATTTTCCCGGTATGATGTGGGTGCCAGAGCTAGCCATCTTTATTCCCTCATAAACACCATTCAACGTACACCGCCTTTGAACCAGAAGAGAATCCTGTGCCTTCGTATCCTTCGCAACATGTGCTTCTTCAATGTCAACCGCAGCCAGCTCGTGGCACACGGTGACTTCATTAATATGCTGCGTGATATTGTTAACCAACCAGTGCACAAAGGACCTGGATCTGGTGATAAGGACTTGAACTCTTTCGAAGAGCACCGCTTGGCTGTCCTCATGCTGTGGAAACTCTTCTGCTTCGAGGCCAAATACAAGGGCATGCTGCGGGGCACCAAGCTGTTCAAACTGCTGATCGGCCTCCGAGTGGAGCTGTCAGTGATTTACTCTGAGAAGTCGAATAAATATACCGACGTTCCCTATGCAAAAGATCTCGCCGAGTTGCTGGAAAATCTGATGGAGTCCATGCGACAATAAACGTGGACAATGGACACAAACTGACAAAGTACAAATTAATAAGATAGCTATAAAAAAAGGTTTTTTTTAATGTCTTTTATAAACTGACTCTTAATTTAACCATAAACAAATGTACTCAAAAATGAAACCAATTTCCTCAAGCTTTACAACTTCTCACATTTGCTGTAAGTCTGAAAGAATTTAAACTATACAAGATGTCCCCTATTAATGAAAATAAATAGTTTATCTGAACAGAAAATTGATCATTTTGTCATTGAACTACCCTAACGCAGTCCAAATTAAGCATTTTGTGGTCTCAATAAGATGTTGTACTGAAGTAGCACGAGACGTATATATGCGCAGCAACCGCATATAGAAATAAAGATAAGATTTCCCGGTTGAGCGACTGGGAGTCACTCAGTAAACAAGCGTGCCAAAAACAATTCCTTACACTATTTTAAAGCGACATAAAGATAGGACTCCATAAATCTGCTATTATTTAGATACCAAATAGGCAAAACCAACTGGGAAGCAACTGAAAAGTGTCCGTGGTTTTGCCATATTGTCGTTAGCATCGAACGCTATATTGCATGTATAAAGCGATTTATCTTTATGGGATTCAAAGTGCGAATCACTGCTGATAATATCCGCCTACCTTCAACTTTAGGTCCCTAAAAGTCAATGGGTTTTTCAGTTCAGTTCCGACTGGCCAAAGGAACTGTTCGACTTTGTGGAGCGACCAGAAATTATCGACATGAAGTCCAGGGACGAGAATGTAAGAATTGATTTTAAAAATCAATTTGTGGTTATTAATCAATAAACCACTTTACAGGGGTCTGCTGAAAGCAAGTCGGACATAGCTTTGGTCAAAATATTATCACAGGAGAAGCAGATGAATCAAAGATTACCCTGGTATTACGCACCATCTTTTCTGATCCTGTGGGTGGCTCTATTCTATGCGGTGGTATATCCGCTCTACCATCGACTTCCGGACAGTGTTCTGATAGCCCATGAGTCTAGTAAGCCTGGCCAATTTGTCGCAGAGAGGGCACAGAGATTGCTCTACAAATACGACAAGATCGGACCCAAAGTTGTGGGTAGTGTGGCAAATGAGGTGACAACGGTGGCTTTTATCGTGGAGGAAGTGGAAAACATCCGGGCAGCAATGCGCAGTGATCTTTACGAGCTGCAGCTGGATGTTCAGCAGCCTTCGGGGGCTTACATGCATTGGCAAATGGTGAACATGTATCAAGGCGTTCAAAATGTGGTAGCGAAAATTAGCTCCAAGAGCTCCAATAGTTCGTCCTACCTGCTAGTCAACAGTCACTTTGATTCCAAGCCCAGCAGTCCCGGTTAGTAAAACGTCCTGTTTGTCCTAATGGGATTTGGTACAATATCTGTCTATAGGTTCCGGTGACGATGGCACTATGGTAGTGGTTATGCTTGAGGTCCTTCGACAAGTGGCTATCTCGGGGACTCCATTCGAACATCCCATTGTTTTTCTTTGGAATGGAGCTGAGGAGAATCCTTTGGAGGCGTCACATGGCTTTATTACCCAACATAAATGGGCGGCCAATTGCAAGTGAGTGTCGATATCCCTTTAAGTTTATTTGAATTACTAAGGAACCTTTCGACAGGGCTCTTATAAATCTGGAGGTGGCCGGCAGCGGAGGTCGTGATCTGTTGTTCCAGAGCGGTCCCAATAACCCCTGGCTCATAAAGGTATGTAGCTATGACGAATTCCATAATTTAGGGGGAACTTTTGTCTAGACTCACAGTTATTTGCAATTTATTCCCCTTATAAATATATCGAATTTCAATGTGCTAATTGCGGCAATTTGATTGCGTGAACTTATTTGGCTTTGATGGCAGCGGCAAGTTTTGATAAACTTATATACATTCTATTTACTCCATTCAGTACTATTATCAAAATGCGAAGCATCCGTTTGCCACCACAATGGCCGAGGAAATATTTCAGTCTGGCATTTTGCCATCCGACACGGACTTCCGTATCTTTCGGGACTATGGAGGGTTGCCAGGTGAGTTGGCGTCACTTTTATTTGACTGTTTTCTCTATAAAAACTTATTACTTAAAGGTCTTGATATGGCTCAAATCAGCAATGGCTATGTGTATCACACAATTTTCGATAATGTTCAGGCGGTGGCCATTGATTCCCTTCAAAGTTCGGGAGAGAATGCTTTGTCTCTGGTGCAAGCTTTTGCCAATGCTAGTGAAATGCACAACCCAGAGGTGAGTCACTCAAAAATGTTAAGGCAATTCAGAAACCAAACTAAATATACCTATAATAAATAATATTTTTATTTTATTTTACAGGAACACAGCTCAGGACATGCCGTCTTTTTTGACTATCTGGGTCTATTTTTTATTTACTACGCTGAAACCACTGGCATAATCTTGAACTGCTGCATTGCTGTTATCAGTTTGGTTCTTGTGGGTTGCTCTCTTTTGAGGATGGCTCGTGAATCGGATGCCTCTATTGGTCAAATATCAATATGGTTTTCCATAATCCTCGGACTTCATGTGTTGGGAATGATCCTTAGTCTTGGATTGCCTCTGCTGATGGCAGTTCTTTTCGATGCCGGGGATCGTTCGATGACATATTTCAGCAACAATTGGCTGGTGATTGGCCTTTTCATCGTTCCAGCAATTATTGGACAGGTTCTGCCCTTGACCCTCTACTACACCCTGATACCGAATGTGAGTCGGTTTGGTTGATTGTTTATGGTAGTTCATGAATATTTATTTCCAGGAAAAAATTAGCCATCCTAATCACATTCATATGAGTCTTCATGCCCACTGTGTACTCCTGTCTTTATTTGCTATTATCCTTACTGCTATAAGTCTAAGGACACCTTATCTCTGCATGATGTCCTTGCTGTTTTATTCCGGTGCTGTATTGATTAATCTTTTGAGCACTCTCCACGATCGCGGTAAATAGTCGTATAACACATCTGATTTTCCCTTAATAAATATGTTTAAATTTGCAGGATACTATTGGGTATTGATTGTGCAGATCCTGCAACTGATGCCTTTCCTGTACTTCTGCTACCTTTTCTACACTTTTCTCTTGGTTTTCTTTCCCATGCTGGGACGTTTTGGACATGGCACTAATCCAGATCTCTTGATCGCACTAATCTGCGCTGTGGGAACTTTCTTTGCCTTGGGTTTTGTGGTAAGATAAGAGGCTCTCGTCGATATTAAATCTAATTTTTGGTTATCCTAGGCTCCCCTGATAAATATATTCCGTTGGCCCAAATTAGCATTGCTCGCCTTGGGAGTAGTCACCTTTATATTCAGTATGATTGCTGTTTCTGATGTGGGCTTTCCTTATCGCGCCAAAACCAGTGTAATGAGAATTCACTTCTTGGTAAGTTCTTTAATTGAAAATTACGTATATTTCCAATAACATCCCCTCTCTTTCAGCATGTTCGTCGTATTTTCTATGAGTACGATGGATCTGTGAGTCTCAGTGATTCTGGCTACTACTTCGACTTCCAGGATCGTCGTCTATATTATCCCCTGGAGGATACCACAGTGAACCTAACTGGCCTCGTTAGCACATCCTCTGATTGCGACAAGTACCTGATGTGTGGAGTTCCCTGCTTTAATCACCGTTGGTGTAAGACCCGCACAAAGAGTCATTGGCTACCGCGGGAGCAGGAGGTGGCCATTCCAGGAGCAACGTCTCTGAAGCTTCTTAGCAAGACAGTCTTGGACTCTGGGAAAGTCGCTCGATTTGAATTCGAAATCTCTGGGCCTCCACACATGAGCTTATATATTCAACCTCTGGATGGGGTGGAGGTAGAGGATTGGTCGTTTATTCGAAATATGCTGGATGATCCCGAAACATATTCTGCGCCATATCAAATATTCTTCGCATATGGAATTGATAACTCTCCCTTAAAGTTTCACATTGACTTTGCGGTTAGTTTGGTAAACCCTGCCATTATTTGATATTATAACATATTTCTTTATAGAAATCTTCGCAAGACTTTAGCACTCCAACTTTCCAGCTGGGATTTGCTGCTAGCTTTGTTAGCTACGATTACGCGAGGGACGCTGCTGGTTTAAAGTTTATATCCGATTTCCCCGACTTTTCCCACGTTATGGAATGGCCGACTTTATATGAACGTTATATATTCTAAGTTGGTTGATTTATAATAGTACTTGCTTAATTTGTTTGCACCAAACAACACCTCTATTAGCTATTAAACTTAGTTTACGACTTATTATTAAACGCACTACTTGGTGTAATATAAATTTTACTTGTTGTTACCATACGATGTAAATAATCGAGTTCACTCGCGTGTGTAGATTGACCGATAAGAGGGTGAGTGGATCAGAACTGACCTGCAATTAGATTTTTAACTATAAATTTAACTAATCGCTATCAAAGAATGATTGGTTTTCAGTGTGGTTTGTTGTTGTCATCGGTTTCCTATCAAGGTTCTCAGTAGGCTATCTTTATAAACTGAAGAGTGCAAATTCGATCCGAAGTAATCAGACCACAAACATTTAGTAGCAAGGCTGTTGGGAATCAGAAAGGTTCTCTACTTGGTTCTCCCCGGAGAATTCTGCTGTAAATATGGAACTGCAAGCTGACGGGGATAAAGCGAGTACCTAATAATAAAAATATGTTCTATGAGTATTAATCACTAAAATATCCAGGAAAGCTTCTCGGACACCGTTCTCTACCATGTCTTGTCAAAAGAAAAGGAGTTAAAAAGAAGACTGCCCTGGTATTATGCACCCTCCCTCCTTCTCCTCTGGGTGGCGCTATTCTTCGCCGTCGTACTTCCGCTCTTTTATCGGCTACCCGAACGAATAACAATTGCCGACGAGCCACTTAAGCCCGGAGAATTTGTGGCCGAGAGAGCGCAGAAAGTACTCTACGAATTCGATCGTATCGGACCCAAAGTGGTTGGAAGCATAGCGAATGAGGTGACGACTGTTGCATTTCTCTTAAATGAGGTGGAAAAGATTAGGAGAGAAATGCACAGCGATCTCTTTGACTTAGAGGTTGACGTTCAGCAACCATCAGGTTCCTATGTGGTGGGAACTATGACCAGCATATATCAGGGCATCCAGAATGTAGTTGTAAAGCTTAGCACTGCGAGTTCAAATAGCTCATCCTATCTCCTGATCAACAGTCACTTTGACTCAAAACCAGGAAGTCCAGGTGCGAAAGTTGGTTTTATTCAAAATTGCAATTCTATTTTTATAATACCTATAAAAAGGTGCTGGAGATGATGGCACAATGGTCGTAGTTATGTTGGAAGTTCTACGTCAAATGTCAATTTCCGAAACCAAGTTTATGCATCCATTAGTCTTTTTGTTTAATGGAGCCGAAGAGAATCCTTTACAAGCCTCCCACGGCTTTATTACCCAACACAAATGGGCAGCAAACTGCAAGTAAGTTGAAGACCTCAACTCACAGAATTATCCCAACGATTTCTCTCAGGGCTGTCATCAATTTGGAAGTTGGCGGTAGCGGGGGTCGAGACATCCTCTTTCAAAGTGGTCCAAATAATCCCTGGTTAGTGAAGGTATTAAAATAACCTATTTACCTAACAAACAATATAATTTTCAGTAATATCATCTACATTTTAGTATTACAAACAGCACTCGAAGCATCCTTTTGCCTCTACGTTGGCGGAAGAGATATTTCAGTTTGGAATACTACCGTCCGATACTGACTTCCGAATATTCCGGGACTATGGAAATATTCCCGGTAAGTAATTAGGTAAAATTTGAGATAGGCAATAAATGTAATAATCTTTAAAGGTCTGGACATTGCCCAATTCAGCAACGGCTATGTTTACCATACAGCATTTGACACCTTCGATATTATTCCTGGAAGTTCAATTCAGAGCACTGGAGAAAATATTCTATCCCTTGCTCGAGCTTTTTCCAATGCCAGTGAGTTGTACAACACTGAGGTGTGTAGAATATCTTGCAAGGATAATATACGAACCTATAAGTTTTTTGAAATTGCAGGAACACAGTGCAGGACATGCTGTCTTTTTTGATTTTCTTGGACTTTTCTTTGTGACATACACGGAAAAGACTGGCATTATCTTGAACTGTTGCTTTGCCGTGATAAGTCTTATTCTTATTGGCTGTTCCCTGTGGAAAATGGCTTCCGTATCTGAGGTTTCTCCGGGAAGGATATCGATATTGTTTGTCATAGCTTTGGGGCTGCATCTTCTTGGGTGCCTCCTGTGCATAACCTTACCTCTATTATTGGCTGTTCTGTACGATGTCAGTGATCGAACACTGACCTACTACAGTAACAATTGGTTGGTAATTGGTCTTTACATATGTCCGGCAATCATTGGAATGGTATTCCCTTCGACAATATATCACTCATTCAAAACTAATGTAAGAGTGGATAGATTTTCTTTTGTTGGAGACTACAATTTCTTATTTTGCTATTAACTGCTGGAGAAGTTAAACCACTCGTACCACTTCTATATCGGCTTACATGCACATTGCGTTGTCCTGTCATTCCTAGCAATTGTTTTGACTGTAATTGGTCTTCGAATTGCCTATATGTGTATGCTATCTTTGGTTTTCTATGTCGTCTCTCTGCTGATTAATCTTTTAACTACCTTACACGATCGTGGTAGGTGCAACCTCGAAATATTATAAAGTTCTGTACTAATTATTTTACATATTCAGGTTACTACTGGGTATTAACGGTGCAGATAATCCAGCTTTTCCAGTACGTGTACTTCTGCTACCTATTCTACATATTCCTTGTGATTTTTTTTCCGGCGATGGGACGAAATCGCGATTCTGTTAATCCTGATATGCTGATTGCCGCGATATGCGCTATAGGAACTTTCTTCGCCCTGGGTTTCGTGGTTCCTCTGATAAACATGTTCCGCTGGTCCACCGTAATATTGATTGGCCTAGGCTTGCTGACTTTTATATTCAGCATGATATCTGTTTCGGAGGTGGGATTTCCTTATCGCCCCAAGACCAGTGTGATGCGTGTGAACTTTCTAGTAAGTAAATATTTCATAGCTTAGTGAAATTGGTTTATAATGCTGTATATTCAAAGCAAACCCGTCGAATTTTCTACGAATACGATGGTAGCCTAAGCGTCGACGATTCGGGTTACTATTTCGACTACCAGGATAGGCGAGCTCTTCGCCCACTTAAGGACTACGCCGTGAATTTGACCGGACTTACATCGATAGATGCCTATTGTGATAAGTACGTGATGTGTGGAATTCCTTGCTTTTGGAGTAGCTGGTGTAGGGGGCTTTCTAGCGCTGCTTGGCTCCCTCGCGAGACGGAAGTGGATATACCTGGAGCACTGGAATTAAACCTCCTTAATAAAACCGTTTCGGAATCGGGGAAATACAAAAGATTCGAATTTGATTTAACTGGTCCGCCGCACATGGACTTGTACATAAGACCACTGGATGGAGTAACAGTGGAGGACTGGTCCTTTATAAGGGATATGCTGGACAAGCCGGAAAAATACTCACCGCCCTATCAAATTTACTTCTCCTATGGCGTGGATACGACCCCTCTTAAATTTCACATTGATTTCGCAGTAGGTTATACCTTCAAAACACTAAAAGTTTTTAAAATTATTACTTATCTTACAGAAATCCGATGGAAATTTCGATGGACCAATATTTGAGCTGGGAGTTGTGGGACACTATGTAAACAAGGATTTCCAGAGAGATGAAACTACGCTTGAGTTCATAGCGAATTTACCGGAGTTTGTTTACACTATGGAATGGCCATCTCTATTTATGCGATATATCTTCTAAGATCCATTTACTCAGACCAATTAAGTTTTGCATCCATTATATATTCAGACATTCCAAGTGCTGCGATAGTGCAATCGATAAGGAAGTGGCTGTTAAACAATATATATTAATCTCTACACCTACATCAAGCGTCCCCTTAATCTGCCAGACATCGCTAAATGAATAAGCTTTAATTTGCAGCTGCCCCTCGCAAGCGTCGGAATCGCCACTTATGTTTATTTATATTAAGTCGTAAACCCGTCCAATTTAGATACCATGGCCGTTGCCATGGTTCAGTCCCAGCCGCCCTGTGCGCCTTAAGACAAAGCAGTTCCCCCGCCGGCTAACCGGCGGGTATCGTATCAAGCGACACACGGCTTTATCTTTATGAGCTCTAATTCGGCGGAAGGCTTCGAGTCGATATGCTCGGGGTGCAGACGTTCAGTTATGCGTTGATCGGGCATCGGAAGGGTTTGAATTGGCTCTCGCTAGCAATCTGACCATGGAAGAGAAGACTGATAAAGTGAGTTTTGATTTGTTAAGTGTGGAAAAAGGAATTTACCGCTGGCGTTTTTGATCAGGAGAATCCCCTCGACACTGTACTCCTCGAGTCCCTGTCGGTGAGAAAAGGACCCATTCGCAGGCAGAGATTGTCCTGGTACTATGCCCCCTCCTTCCTGCTCCTCTGGTTGGCCCTCTTCTACGCCATCGTGATTCCGCTCTACTACAAACTTCCGGATAGGTTGACCATATCAGATGAATCACTTCACCCTGGAGAATTCGTAGCGGAACGGGCACAGAAACAGCTATTCACATACGATCGGATTGGACCCAAAGTAACGGGTAGCTATGCCAACGAGGTGACCACGGTTGAGTTTCTCGTAAACGAGGTGGAGAAGATCCGTGCCGAGATGCGCAGTGATCTCTACGACCTCGAGGTGGATGTCCAGTCACCTACGGGGGGATACGTCTTTATTGATATGGTAAACATGTACCAGGGTATTCACAATGTAATCGTCAAACTCACTTCAAAGAGTTCCCCGAGTGAATCCTACCTGTTGCTCAACAGCCATTTCGACTCTAAGCCAGGCAGTCCAGGTGAGTGGTTTCATCACTTCTATAATACCTTATTAGGCACTGATCGAGGTATTCAGGTTCCGGTGATGATGGCACTATGGTTGTGGTCATGCTGGAGGTCTTTCGTCAAATGGCGATATCGCCTACGCCATTTGAACATCCCATTGTCTTTTTGTTCAACGGGGCGGAGGAAAATCCACTTCAGGGCTCCCATGGTTTTATTACACAACACAAATGGGCCGGCAACTGCAAGTAAAATAACTTAATTTTCGTTTCTAACTTTTATTTGCAACTATAATATTTATAGGGCATTTATTAACCTTGAAGTGGGCGGAAGCGGGGGACGTGACTTATTGTTTCAGAGCGGTCCCGACAATCCTTGGCTCATGAAGGTGAGATTAAGAATCATCATTTCTGAACAAAAAAGTAGCTTATGGCTATTGTTACCCTATAGACTTTATGGTCGAATTTATGGTCACTTATTTTACTGCCGATATACTAAACGGAGTTTTTATAGTATTATAGACTTCACGCGAAGCACCCGTTCGCGACCACAATGGCAGAGGAGATTTTTCAGAGTGGAATTTTGCCCTCTGATTCAGACTTTAGAATTTTCCGGGATTTTGGGAATATAGCTGGTGAGTTGATGAATCACATGCGCTGGGGTCTGATAACAATGGGGTTTTCCATAGGTCTGGACATGGCTCAGGTTGACAACGGATATGTGTACCACACAGCGTTTGATACCTTTGAGAACGTTCCTGGGCGATCCATTCAGAACTCTGGTAACAATGTCCTCGCTCTGGTGCGTGCTTACAGTAATGCCAGCGAGTTGTATAACACAGAGGTGAGTTTAACAACATTATAGTACTAGGAATAGTATTCTTATGGCATATATTTTCAGAGTGATGAGGGCCACGCTGTCTTCTTTGACTTCCTCGGTCTTTTCTTTGTGTACTACACGGAGACCACTGGCATTATTCTGAACTGTCTGATTGGAGTGATATGTCTAGTTTTGGTTGGCTGCTCTGTCTGGAGAATGTCTCGCCAGTCGGTTGAGGTGACTCTTCCTCAGATTTCGATTTGGTTCCTCAGTATTTTGGGCCTGCACGTGGTGGGATTCTTGCTGTGCATTTGCCTGCCTCTACTGATGGCGGTTCTATTCGATGCTGGGGGTCGGTCACTGACTTACTTTTCCAGCATATGGCTAGTTTTTGGACTCTACGTATTTCCCGCCGTCATCGGCCTAGTACTCCCGTTGACTCTGTACTATACCCTGAGGCCCAGTGTAAGATCATCTAATTTGTTATCTACTATCCATACTATAAGTTCTTACTAAATTACAGATCAAACTAAGCCACGCCTACCATCTCCAGTTGAGCTTGCACGCCCACTTGGTGGTCCAGGCTCTTTTGGCTCTCATTTTGACCGCCATGGGTCTCCGTTCTCAGTACCTGTGCCTCATTTCCCTAATCTTCTACGGGGGTGCACTTTTGATTAACCTAGTGAGCACGCTGCACGATCGTGGTGAGTTTTATTAACCATAAATCAAAGTGTGCTTTCTCTGACAATGATATATTTAAGGCTACTATTGGACCCTGATTGTTATGAGTCTACAAGTGTTACCGTTTTCGTACTTCTGTTACGTATTCTACATGTTTCTGGTGATATTCATTCCGGTTCTGGGAAGGAATGGTTATAATACAAATCCGGATCTTATTGTAGCATTACTCTGTGGTGTTTGCGTCTTCTTTGCTCTGGGTTACGCGGTAAGTCTTTTTTAGGATAGTTCCTTTTTCAAGTGAAAATGTATAACGCTTATTTCACAGGCACAACTTATCAACATGTTCCGCTGGCCAAAGCTTATTCTTCTTGGTTTGGGAGTAGTCACCTTTGTCTTCTGCATGATCGCTGTCTCGGATGTGGGCTTCCCCTATAAGCCCAAGACAAATGTGATGCGAGCCAACTGCTTGGTATGTTACAATTATAAAGTAAAAGTCCAATATCTCATAGTTCTTACTTTAAAGCACACTCGTCGTCTTTTCTACGAATTCGATGGATCTGTCAGTCGCAGCGACTCTGGTTACTACTTCAACTATCAGGATAGGCGAGCCTTTGACCCTCTCCAGGACTCTGAACTTAATCTGACCGGACTAGAGGCAGTTGCAAACAACTGCGACGATTACGTAATGTGCGGAATTCCGTGCTTCTACTACAGCTGGTGCAAGTGGCGCCAGTGGGATGGTTGGCTGCCTCGCGAGTCGGAGGTGATCATACCCGGAGAACTAACCCTAGAGTACCTGGGAAAGACGGTTTTGGAGTCTGGAACAATAGCGCGATTGGAGTTCGAGCTGTCCGGACCGCCCCATATGAATTTGTTCATCCAGCCGGTGGGCTCCGCCAAAGTTGACAACTGGTCTTTTGTGAGGAAAATGTTGGACGAACCGGAAGAGTTCCAGCCGCCTTATCAGATCTTTCATTCCTACGGAACAGATAATTCCTCGCTGAAGTTCTTCATTGATATGGAAAAGTCTGATGGTGATTTCAATAATCCTACTTTGGAACTCGCAGCTGTGGGACACTGGGTCAGCTACGAGTACGAAAGAGATGCAGAGGCTAAAGATTTTGTGGCCAGCTTTCCTAACTTTGTCCACGTTATGGAATGGCCTTCTATATTTAAGCGATATATTTTTTAGGTATTTAATAGCTTTAAATATGCTATTATTGCTCAATGGAATCTATCCTTTGGCTGCCCTTATGAATCCCATTACCAATCTAACCCTTCCGGTTTTTTTGGCTTAATTTTGTTACATACCAAAGATTGTTGGGAGTAGTTTGAGAAAAACTAATACATTTTTAGACCGACACACTAATGTACATATTTATTTTAATTGGACGGCATAACAAATTGACTTTACCATATTGAAAAAAGTGTATTGGTAAGGTAATATTTTTCTCCTTTCTTTTCTTAAACTGACGCGTCAGAACTTTATCTTTATAGTCCATGATATGATGAAAAGCTTTGAGGCTATGCGTCCGTAGAACAAAAGTTCAGTTTCTCACGAATTTGCAATCGAAGCAGTTCGAGTTCTTAATGATATTATCATGGCCGAGAAGATTGATAAAGTGAGTGTGGGCTTGCTGAAATATAAAAAAACTTATTTCGTTGACTGGATCTTTTAAAGGAGATTGCCCTTGACGAAGAAGTCGTGGAGTCTGCATCGCTGAAGGGAGGACCTGAAGACAGGCGGAGATTATCTTGGTACTACGCTCCCTCCTTTCTGCTTTTCTGGTTGGCTCTATTCTTTGCCATCGTGATTCCGCTCTTCAACAGACTTCCAGATAGGATAACCATCGCAGAGGAGCCAGCGAGGTTAGGAGAATTCGTGGCGGAACGGGCAGAAAGACTGCTGTATGAATTTGAACGGATTGGACCCAAAGTTGTGGGCAGCCAAGCGAATGAGGTGGAAACGGTTGCCTTTCTTTTAAATGAAGTAGAAAAGATTAGAAAGGAATTGCGCAACGATCTTTATGAGCTCGATATTGACGTCCAGTTATCCACTGGTGGATTTTTGTTTAGCAGTATGCTAAACATGTACCAAGGTGTCCAAAATGTAATTGTTAAACTAAGTGCTAAGAATTCCCAAAGAGAGTCTTACCTCCTGATCAACAGTCATTTCGACTCCAAGCCAGGCAGTCCAGGTGAGTGTTATGAATGCACTTCGAAAATATAGAGACTTAATACAGGATAATAGGATCTGGAGATGATGGGACCATGGTTGTGGTAATGCTGGAGGTCTTACGTCAGATGTCGACATCCGATACGCCATTTGAGAATGGAATAATCTTTCTGTTCAATGGAGCTGAAGAAAACGCCCTTCAGGGTGCCCATGGCTTTATTACGCAACACAAATGGGCAGCGAATTGCAAGTAGGTAAAAGGTCGGGTAGCATTGAAAATATTTGTGATTCTTACACTTATTAAAGAGCCCTTATAAACCTTGAAGTGGGTGGCAGCGGAGGACGCGATCTCTTGTTTCAGAGTGGTCCCAATAATCCTTGGCTGATGAAGGTACGAATAATTCTTATATCAGATAAGTATTTACTTTCTTCTTTTTTGTAGTACTATAGGCAATATGCAAAACACCCTTTCGCAACGACACTAGCCGAGGAAACCTGGCAGGCTGGTATTATCCCCTCTGATACAGACTTCCGAATTTTTCGCGATTATGGGAATGTTCCTGGATTGGACATTGCCCAGGCTAATAATGGATATGTGTACCACACAGCCTTTGACACATTTAAGGTGATTCCTGGAGGATCCATACAGAATACTGGTAACAATATTCTTGCCCTTGCGAGGGGGTATGCGAATGCCAGTGAATTATATGAGAACGAGGTATTTTCTTATTATGGTAATTTCATTCCACTAATCTGAACACATTCATTTTTAGGAATCTGATAACAGCCATGCAGTATTTTTTGACTTCCTCGGTCTTTTCTTTGTGTACTATACGGAAAGCACTGGTATTATTCTGAACTGCTGTATTGGAGTGATCAGTCTGGTTTTGGTTGGTTGTTCCCTTTGGAGAATGTCCCGCCAGTCGGAGGTGACCCTGGTACAAACTTCGCTATGGTTCCTGATTGTCCTGGGACTGCACGTGGTAGGAGCTTTACTGTGCTTTTGCCTGCCATTATTAATGGCTGTTCTTTTCGATGCTGGAGATCGATCGCTGACTTACTTTACCAGCAATTGGCTGGTTTTTGGCCTGTACGTATTTCCCGCTATCATCGGACTAGTACTTCCATTGACCCTGTACTATACTCTAAGGCCCAATGTAAGGCTATTCAATTGGATAACTTAACTTCTGACTACAATTTCTGTTCAATTTCAGGATAAACTGAGCCATGCTTACCTCATCCAGATGAGTTTGCACGCCCACTTCGTGGTTTTGGCCCTGCTCATTCTCATTTTAACCGCTGTTGGTATCAGATCTCAATATCTGTGCCTCATATCATTGATCTTCTACGGAGGTGCTCTCCTGATAAATCTGCTAAGCACATTGCATGATCGCGGTGAGACATCATATAATCACTGTTTTAAGTTAAACCCTCAACTGTAACATATTTCAGGCTACTATTGGTCCGAGATTGTGGTACTTCTTCAAGTGTTTCCATTCTGTTACTTTTGCTACCTATTTTATATGGTGCTCGTAGTGTTCTTTCCGATAACAGGAAGAAACGGAATCGGTTCGAATCCGGATCTAATAATAGCGCTCTTGTGTGCTTTTTGTACATACTTTGCTTTGGGATTTGTTGTAAGTGAATATCTTTAAGTTATGACTACAAATAATCCCTTAACATTGGACATTAGGCTCAATTCATAAACGTCTTCCGGTGGCCAAAGCTCATTCTTCTCGGACTCGGAGTGGTTACGTTTATTTTCTGCATGATCGCCCTTTCAGAGGTGGGCTTTCCCTATCGTGCCGAAACAAATGTGATGCGAGTTACATTCATGGTAGGTTAGCTTAATAATTATAAAGATCTCAAAATTAAGATAATTCTTTCAAAGCAAACTAATCGCATCTTCTACGACTACGATGGCACGGTAAGTCATAGTGATTCAGGATACTATTTCGTATATCAGGATAGACGCGGCTTAAATCCGCTGGATGACTCCGGTGTCAACCTGACTGGATTGGTCTCCATGGAACCTGACTGCGATAAATATGTGATGTGCGGGGCACCCTGCTTCTACTTTTGTGGAGGGGTTAGAAATGCAGGTTGGCTGCCTCGCGAAGTTGTTAGTCCTGGGGAAATAACCCTGGAGTTACTGGAAAAGACAATCTTGGTCACAGACAATAAAGTTCGTTTTGACTTTGAACTCACTGGACCGCCCCATATGAACATTTTTATCCAACCAGTGGGTGTTGCTAATGTTACGAACTGGTCATTTGAACGAAAGTTATTAGATGACCAGGATACATTCAAGCCACCTTATTTTATATTTTTCTCATATGGAAAAGACGACAGTCCTTTGAAGTTTTATATTGAACTAGCGGTGAGTTTTTCAATTATATAATAACTATGGAAACCTATTTAAACTTTTTTATTGCAGAAGTCCGACGGGGACTTTAGTATTCCTATCTTGGAACTTGGAGTAGTGGGACATTTTGTCAGCTACGATTTTAAAAGGGATGCAGAGGCTGAGCAATTTTTGGAGAACCTACCTAACTATGTTCATGCTATGGAATGGCCATCAATATTTAAGGGATACATATTCTAGCACTTTTATATAAATCCAAAAACATGTGTAATAAAATGTAATATTTGAGCAGACAGATATATTTCTGAAATATATTAAATATATTTAGTGTCCAAATGCTTTATATTGGCATTTTAAAATCTGTTCTATCTTTCCATATTCTGCAAATAAAAAAACATTTACTTCCAGCAAAGAAAATGTCACGATACCCTACTTTTCGTTTCGTTTCTATAGTTACTATACCTACTACCTCTTTTATAGTAAGTCTGGACTGGGCTTGGAATTTTTAGTGCAGTTTTCCATATCGATTCGAAATGAACTGCTTGCCAAAACTCATAATAATTAGGTGCTTTATCTAGATGTTATCTTTTTACCGCATTTGATTTAGGTTTTATAAAACCGATGCAAAGTTTATGGTGTCATTTTGTTATCTTTATAAAGCAATAATATTTCTGTTCATGGGCCCTTGGTATATTTTGGTCTCAATGGAAAGGCGCTTGGGATGGAAAAATAGTATCGATAATATTTTGGTTGTAATCGTTAGACATCATATTTATAGGATAAAGCTAACTTTGGAAAACTAAAATTTGATTTTCAAAAAACACAATGGAGTTAAAGGAACAGATGTTAAATAGCACAAATCTATTTTATTTAAAGTTTTAATTAATTTCTAACACTTTAAAAATAAATAAATAAATAATGAGTTTATATGATCTAACCTGTTTAATTTTGGTGGATATATCGCTTCTGACCTATTTTCTTGATACTCATCGCTAGGTAGCATTATCCGGATGCCGAGATATAAAATGAAATCACTTTATGAAGATTGCCGAAGACTTTGACTCTAGGAAGATAATAAAAATGAGGTATATATGTACCCATAAATATACTGGGTCTGTGGACTCCAAGTTGAATATCAATCCCAAAGCAGCCTTAAAAAGGTTTAAATCTGATAAACTCGGCAAAGGTTTGCTCAGTCGCGCGTGGTACTTCGTTGTGATTTAATGCTGATTAAATCAGCGAACTGTCGTTATGGAAAAACACAATGGAGGATTTGAAGAGGATAGCCTTTCAGAGGAATTGGAACCATCGTATAATGGGAACGAAAAAAACACTTTGCAATTGGTTACTGAGAGCATAGATCCTGAAGAGGGCTGCAGCAACGATACTCTAATCAAATTGAAGGAGAAGGACGGTACCCCTAAGCAATTGGAATGGTACTACGCTCCTGTGTTCTTGCTCTTCTGGGTCGGACTATTCTTCGCAGTGTGCTATCCCCTTTTTAATCACCTGCCAACTGGCGTAAAGATAGAGGAGGAGTCTAACTTACCGGGAACCTTTGTGGCCCAGCGTGCTGAAAGCATACTGCTCCAGCTAGATCTCATGGGTCCCAAGATAGCCGGCGATTATGTGACGGAGGTTCTCATGGTTCAGTTCCTGCTCGCCGAGATATCCAAGGTGCGTGAAGAGATGCGAGACGATCTCTATGAAATGGAGGTGGATGTACAGCGCTCCAGTGGAGCCTTTCTTCACTGGCAAATGATAAACATGTACCAGGGCATCCAAAACGTGGTGGTGAAGCTTAGTTCCAAAAGTTCCAACAGCACCTCCTATCTTTTGGTAAACAGTCATTACGACTCTAAGCCCAGCAGTGTGGGTAAGTGAATCTACAAGTTGGTGACCCAAGATCAGGACTGAGTCTTGAGTTCTATGTGCAGGAACTGGAGACGCGGAGGTCATGATTGTGACCATGCTGGAGACACTGCGTCTGATGGCCACATCCGAGGAGCCCTTCCTGCATCCTATTGTGTTTCTGTTTAACGGCGCCGAGGAGCAGCCCTTCCATGGATCACATTCGTTTATATCGAACCACCGATGGTCAGCCAACTGCAAGTAAGTGGTTTATAACATTTCCCTTGCCCACTCTTAACATTGAGTCTCACAAATCAGAGCATTAGTCAATTTGGATTCGGCCGGTGCTGGCGGTCGCGAAATTCTCTTCCAGGGGGGTCCCAACCATCCTTGGCTAATGAAGGCAAGTTAAAATCGCGCAATCCACTTGAATTTTATCTTAATAGCCGAGCCGTAAAACATTGAAAACACTTTTACTGGCACGCTTATCTTATCATCGTTTACTGTACTATATCCAATAAAAATCGTTGTTTTGCACTTTAGCAATACAAAAAGAGTGCCAAGCATCCGTTTGCCACCACGATGGCCGAGGAAATTTTCCAGGCTGATCTAATACCCTCGGATACGGATTTCCGAATCTTCAGAGACTTTGGACCGGTGCCAGGTGGGTTTCTTATGTACATACATATATTTATGTGGTATATACATTTCTGTATCTTGTTTTATATTAATCCAGGTCTGGACATGGCTGGTTGCTATAACGGCTTTGTCTACCACACCAAATTCGATCGCTTTAAAGTTATATCCCGAGGTGCACTGCAAAACACTGGCGATAATGTACTTTCTCTGGTTCGCAGTATATCCAATGCCGAGGAAATGTATGATACTGAGGTGGGAAATCTAAACAATTGGGTTAACTTAACTTTAATGTCTTATATACCTCTTTCACCAGGCTCACTCAAAGGGTCATTCGGTTTTCTTTGACTATTTGGGTCTTTTCTTCGTTTACTACACCGAGTCTACGGGCACTGCTCTGAATATTTCCTTTTCCTTGGGATCTATCCTCGTTATTTGTCTCTCCTTGTGGCGCATGGCTAGGGTTACGAATCGGAACGTGGGTACCTATGCCCGGGCCTTTGGAATGCAGTTCCTCCTGGCAATACTGGGATTTTTGTTGGCCCTTGGTTTTCCACTGCTGATGTCTGTGTTCTACGATGCCGGTGATCGCACGATGACCTACTTCAGCAACAGCTGGTTGGTTATTGGTCTCTTTATCTGCCCCTCAGTTATTGGTCTAGTCTTACCCGCCACCCTTTACTTGTCTCTGCGTCCCAGTGTAAGTTTGAAAAACGTATATTTTCTTTTCCAAATGTATACCTACATTTTCTTTTGACTACGTAGGAAAATATACCGCACACCTACCACCTACAGATCGTCGGACATGCTAACTGTGTTCTACTGGCAGTACTTTGCATTTTACTCACGGCTGTGGGCATTCGCACGGCATATCTTTTTATGATGTGTGTGTTCTTCTACTTGGGAGCTTTGATCATAAACCTGGCCAGTCGACTTCATGATAAGGGTAAGGCTAGTATAAGATTAAAATGATTTCAATGACACCTTCTTTCTGATTTAGGTTATATCTGGGCTGTAGTGCTCGGTGTCTGCCAGGTACTCCCATTTCTGTATTTTACCTATCTGTTTCTCGCCCTTCTGGTCATCACCATTCCGATGACGAGCCGCAAGGGCATGGATGCAAACCCTGATTTACTGATCTCCTTAGAGTGCGCACTGGGCTCAATTCTGGCAATGATGTTTTTGGTAAGGCTATCATTTAGTTTTGATAAAGAATTTTTCAGCTGACTGAGCCTTTTTTGTAGGCTCCTCTTCTGAACATCTTCAAGCGACCCAAAAGCATGGTTGGTGGCTTGGCATTACTAATGTTTATTTTCTGCATGATCTCTGTTTCGGATGTGGGCTTTCCCTATCGTGCCAAAACAAATGTGATGCGTCTACACTTTTTGGTAAGTGATTAGAAAAGCCAGATAAAAGGCCTTGTTTAATAGTATTTCTCGGTTGCGTTCTTAGGAGGTACATCGCAAGTTCTACGAGTACGATGGCTCCATAAGCTTGGAGGACAGTGGCTACTACTTTGATTTGCAGGACAGGCGTCTAGAGGCACCTCTGCTCGACAAGATCAACCTCACTGGACTCACTAGACTCGATGAGCAATGCGAATCGGAGATGTATTGTGGCCTTCCGTGCTTTAATCATCGTTGGTGTTCCGCCGTAAAAGACGCACGTTGGTTGCCTCGAGAAGAGCCAGTTGATTTGCCTGGTTCTCCGGTTTTGCAGCTTCAGAACAAGACGGTTTTGGGAACCGAGACTGACCCGAAAGTTCGTTATCACTTCATCGTCTCAGAAGGTCCACCAAGAATGAGTTTCTTTATACAACCCATGGACGGTGTGAGAATGCTGCACTGGTCTTTCCTTAAGGGAATGCTTGACAATCCATCAGTCTATAAGCCTCCATACCACATTTTCTTTGGATACGGTAGCGACAGCTCAGCTGTCGAGTTCTATTTAGAAATGACGGTGGGTAGCTAAAATATTCTTTAAGTGACACCTCATTAAAACCTCATTTTTGTATTTATGTCCCGCAGAAGGACGACGGAAACTTCGACGGTCCCTTAGTTCAGTTGGGCATCTCTGGGCACTATATGAGCCACCTAAGTAATCGCGATGCTACGACTCTAAAATTCATCGAGGACCTCCCAGACTTTGCTCACCCCATGGAGTGGCCAAGTTCCTACGAACGATATATATTCTAGTGTTAAATCATTTTATATAGTTTTTACATTATATACAACATAAAAATTTAAAATCAATATGAATTTAATTTTGTTCTTTCTCCGACTTCTTTTCGCTACTTTTCGACTGATGGTGTTCATAAAGTTAATGAAAGATGGCCCTAAAATGCTTAAATGATCAGTGATCAAAGTATACTGGCGAATGTTGGCAAATAAAACTCCGACTAGATGTGATAAATACATAAATCCACTGTTACAAACAAGAATCTAATAAACCAAATATGACCAAGTCATTTTGTATGATATTGACATGAGTTATCAAATTGCTTCCAAGTTAATTGCTTTTGAGACCATCACCATTATTAACTTTCGGTCACTTTAAATACTTAAATCTGGCACAGCCAAATATCGACCAGACTTTTCTAGTTTAAGGGCTATTTTGTCAGACGAACACCATTTGGATATTGGTTTGGGTTTTTAAACCTTTTTAAACTGATTAAAATAGGTGGGAATTATAGCCTTGACTTTCAGGCACTGCCGACCAGATGCGATACAATAAAGACATAAATCCGCAATAGCCAAAAAGTGCGATTACGATATGGGGCAAAGTTAGCGGTAATGATTTTGGTTTGGGTAATCACGTCGTTAGGCCCTCGAGGACCGCAAAAGATCGGTGGGTTTTGGAATTTATCGATGGCATAGACGAAAATGTTTTTAGGTATGTACGTATGCTGATAGGAAAGCGTGAATAACACGCGCCATAATGCCATAAATATCGAATATCTTTATACTATGCTGAAGATATCAACCATATCGCATCATAAAGCCGAACCACAACTTTAAATTGCGGATGGAGATGTCCGGCGGGTTAGTCGTGCTTCGAGAGTCGTGGAAGGTGCTCTTGCTTGGACGGTTCCCGAATCTCTTGAAAGTCAAAAAATGGGAGCTACAAAGGACGGAAAGGTGTGTGACTCAATACCATTATGTCGTTACTCAAATTGGAAGTTATTTTCTGAATTTCTCATCTGACCACAGACTCTTTTGGGGTCCGAGAACCTAATCATCGAGATCGACGAGGGGAAGATACGAACAAAGCAGTTTCCCTGGTACTTTGCCCCGACCTATCTTCTTTTCTGGGTGGCGCTCTTCTTTGCCGTCATCTACCCACTCTTCCAAGCTCTGCCCACAGGGATTAAGAGATCCGAGGAGGCGGATAAGCCAGGACAATTCGTGGCCGAAAGAGCTCAGGAAATACTGCTGAAAATAAGTCAAATCGGACCTCGAGTGGTGGGCGATGTTAGCAATGAAGTCACCGTTGTGAATTTACTGCTCGAAGAAATTGAAAAAGTTAGACAGGTATTGCGTGACGATGTGTACGAAATGGAGGTAGAAGTGCAACGAGCATCCGGTTCGTATTTGATTAAGGGCCTCACAAATCACTATCAGGGTGTGCAGAATGTGATCGTTAAACTGAGTACAAGGAGTTCCAATAGCACCTCTTATCTTCTGGTCAACAGTCATTATGACACCAAGCCGGGATCACCAGGTAAGTCTATTGTGGTTATTGAATTTCATGTAGTCCTAAAAAATAAACTCCAACCTTCAGGAGCCGGTGATGATGCTGCCATGGTTGTCGTAATGCTAGAGGTGCTGCGACAGGTGGCTATTTCAGGGGATCCCTTCCTGCATCCCATTATATTCTTATTTAATGGCGCTGAAGAGCAGCCTATGCAGGGTTCCCATGGCTTTATCACTCAGCACAGATGGGCTGCCAATTGCAAGTGAGTTTATCCTTGGGTTAGGTTACCTGCAGTTGGCCTAATTTGATTTCAAATCAGGGCACTTCTTAACCTGGATTCTGCCGGTGCTGGTGGACGGGATCTGTTATTCCAGGGCGGTCCCAATCATCCCTGGCTGATGGAGGTAAGTTATTTTGTTTCTCCCAAAAACCCCCTGAAAGTCTGCAATGTATTTGGTGATTCACTATTTTTGGCATTACCATGATCGCACTTCCGATATGCACGATATCACCCGTCTGGCTAGTGATCAATTAATCTAATCTTTGGCCTTATCTTAGCATTACAGAAACAGTGCCCCACACCCATTCGCCACCACCACGGCGGAGGAGATGTTCGAGGCGGGCATCATACCATCGGATACCGATTTTCGAATCTTTCGGGACTTTGGAGTGATACCAGGTGAGTTTCCAATACCAGGATATCCCTTTTGAACCGGACATATGAGGTATTCCCTTCCAGGTTTGGACATGGCTGGCGTCTACAATGGTTTCGTCTATCACACAAAATTCGATCGATACACGGTGATAAGCCGCGATTCCCTGCAGAATTCCGGCGACAACTTGTTGGCCCTGGTGTGGAGTATTTCAAATGCTGACGAAATGTATAACACTGAGGTCGGTTTCTTATGAAGGACTCGTTTCCATCTATTCTAACCCCCCTCTTTTTTCTTCAACAGGCCCATGCTTCGGGACATGCTGTGTTTTTCGACTTTATTGGACTGTTTTTTGTTCATTACCAGGAGTCGACTAGTCTGGCCCTGAATCTCTCCTTTTCCTTTGGGGCCATTTTCCTGGTCTGCGTTTCATTGTGGCGCATGTCTAAAGTTACGGGTGAAACCATGGGCACCTATGCCGGGGCTTTTGGACTACTATTCCTCCTAGCCCTTGCGGGTGTACTACTTGCCTTGGGTTTCCCCCTGCTAATGGCCACATTCTATGATGTGGGAAATCGAACTTTGACTTACTTTAGCAACAGTTGGCTGGTCATTGGCTTGTACATTTGCCCCTCGGTAATTGGCCTCGTTCTGCCGATGACTCTCTATCTAACCCATAAGAAAAGTGTGAGTAATATATTATAATCTTAATTTACATTGATGCATGAATATACTTATCCTCTTTAGAACAAGATCCCCCACACTTACTACTTGCATATAGTAGGACATGCCAACTGCGTTCTTCTGGCCATCTTGTGTTTGGGGGCAACTGCCCTCAAATATCGTAGTGCTTACTTGTTCCTAATCTCTCTAATATTCTACGTTGGTGCTTTGATTATTAATCTGTTGACCCGTCTTCACTGTCGCGGTAAGTTATCACCAGAGTTCAAAAAGTATTCTGAATTGATGAGGATCTCTTATTGCAGGCTACTTGTGGTCCCTGGTGCTGATTGTTTTCCAAATCATACCCTTCATATACCACGCCTATTTGTTCCACATGTTCATACTTATTCTCATTCCGATGACCGGTCGCTTTGGGGTCTCCACAAATCCGGATCTACTGATTGCCGCTCTCTGTGCTTTTGGCACAATACTGGCCCTATCTTTTGCGGTAAAACAGAAGTTCAAAAACTAATTTCTAACAAATTAATATATAATTTTTTGTAGGCTCCCCTTATCAACATTTTCCGACGACCCAATTGCATGCTGGGAGGTTTGGCTCTGGTAATGTTTATTTTCTGCATGATAACCGTCTCGGATGTGGGATTCCCCTACCGCCCAAAGACGAATGTGATGCGTGCGGACTTTATGGTGAGTGGGGCTTTGCTTATCTTCTAAAGAAATATATCTAATATTGGATCTTAAACGGAACAGCAAGTGCATCGCAAATTCTTCGAGTATGATGGTTCCATGAGCCTGGAGGACTCTGGCTACTACTTCCACCTGGGGGATCGTAATAAGGAGGCTCCTCTCCGGGACTACATGAATCTGACCGATTTGGTTCCCCTTGGTGAGGAATGCGACTCGGAATTAATGTGCGGTATTCCCTGCTACCGATATTGTACTGCCCGAAAGCATGCTCTGTGGCTTGCCCGAGAGGATCCGGTGGAACTGCCGTATCCCACTGTTTTGGAGTTCCTCAACAAGACAGTTCTTCCAGGGGGCTATCAGGTGCGTTTTGAATTCCGGCTGACTGGACCCCCAAACATGGGTCTGTTCTTCATGCCCTTGGATGGCGTAAGATTGCTTCGATGGACGTTTGCCCCTGGAATGTTGGACAGCCCGGCCACCTACAGACCTCCCTTGGAGGTCATGTTAACATACGGGATTGATAGCACGCCCATTGAGTTCTTCGTGGAATTTTCGGTGGGTACTGAAGGGTACACTCCTATTACTTAGCTAACTAACTGACTTTTAGAAGGACAATAGCAATTTTGAAGAGCCCGTCTTCGAGATGGGCGTGTCCGGACATTATGTCAGTCCCCATGACAAACGGGATGCGCTGAGCGAAGAGTTCCTGGCCACACTTCCGGACTTTGCCTTCTCCATGGAGTGGCCCAGTAGCTACGAACGCCATATATTCTAAGAAAGATAGATGATAAGAAAACACCAAGTCATTGACACCCCCAAAAAGCGAAAACTCGAATTCTTGGGGAAATAGATGGCGATCAAACATTACATGCTGCATTTCGAAATGTGCCGCTAGACAAACATTCGGGATGAAGTTGGTGGGGGGAAGAGCAAACGTTGAGGGTACCATTTGTGCAAACATTATCTGGAACACTCACATGTATTTCGACTGCAGTCAAAATATGGGTATAAATAGTGAGGCCTGGTCCATCGAAAGACACACTCAGAGTTCAGCAGCTCTTCCAGCCACCAGCATCAGCTAGCCAATTTCGAAAGCCCACAAGCTACCAGTCAACATGAAGTTCTTCGCTGTCCTGATCTGCTTCTTTGCTATTCTGGCTGTCGCAATGGCGGCTACGACTACTACAGGCACCACCTCAACTCCAACAACGCCCTCGTCGCCCTCGACCACTACATACACCTACACCACCACCCCAACCAGCCCAACCACATCAACTTATACCTACACGGACACCACAACCACCACGAGGCCCTTCAAGCAGCAGCTCCTGTCCCTGCTGTTCAACAAGAACGGATAGACTTCATCCTATCTACGATGCCGCCACTTGGAACGATCCGTATCACCTGAATAGCCAATAAATAAAAAAATACCAAAACAAACACGAACCGCCTCTTGAATTCTCTTTCCGGAATTGTGGTTAACTATCTCACGTAGCATTGGGCAGCTG